GACTGCTCGGGGGGGCAGAGGCGGCCGCTCACCAGGACTTTGTGCTGACCCGTCAGGTTGGGTGGCTCACAGAGCAGCTGCGTCTCTGACACTGTGATGGAACAGGGTGTCTCTCCGATCAGCACCGTGTAGTTCAGGCGACCCCCCCCAGAGGCTGGGGGCACCAGGTTTCTACCCTGTGGGTTGAGTGTAGGGGGGAAAATCATGCCCCCATCCAACCCACACCATGATAGATACACTAACACATCAATCTAATCAATATTACTACAATTAGAACTACTGCCTTTGAATGATGAACGGAGGACGTCCCAGTGTGAGACCCAAACACCTGAACCTAATTACAAATAATACTCAGACTTCTTTTGTTACCTCAGCATTCCTACACACCCAGACCATGTTTTCTGATGCTAACTGTAGCTCTTCCAAAAATCTGACACTCACATGTTTCATTGTGTTTTCCTTGTGCTGTCTTTTGTTTTAATTTCGCCCCGGCATTTTGTAAGATCTTATACTCAAGTAAAATCCCCATTCTGTCCACCCACCCCTCACATGGTTTTTATGGTTCCAGTTTTCATGGCATCTTTAACATTTTTAGAAGCCTGTAGAACATGAGTAGAAGATCTGGCTGGAAAAGCTGAGGTTTGTTAGATTTACGTGGATATATCTGGTTGCGCTGAGTAGAAGAGTACTACTGAGGGTTCTGTAAAGCAGAAACTCGAACAACAATTCATCTACACGCCTCCAACCACCTTGAGGATAATCGGGGAGCCTGGCTTCTGCTCCAGCACTCCAGAGGCGCTGAGGGGCTCGAAGTAGGGGTTGGGGTAGTAGACAAAGCTGGTGCTGTTGTAGACGAGTAGCGCCTGCACATTGTTGAAGATGAAGCCAAATTCATCCACAGGCTTGACTGCGTCTGGCCCTGGAGGAGACTCGCCCGTCAGGGAGGGGGCAAAGCAGCTTATTGTGGTGGTGTTGAGCACCTTGCATACCTGAGGGAGAATAAGGAAGACAGAGAAAAAGTGAGAATAAGCATGAGGGAGACAGAATGAGAAAATGAGGGAAAGAACGTGAGAGACCGTCAGTGCGAGATGAGAGTCCTACAGCGATAGGTGTCCTTAATTCCTCCTGAAGTCCTGCTGTTCAAAAAGAATTCCTGCACTTCCAACATCAAAGTCAATATGTAGACATGTAAAATGCTCCTCTGACCTTCTAAAAGCTAACAGCCCTGGTCTTCTGGCCCAAAATATCTGCCGGATATCCACACAAACCAGGGACGGGTTTGGTTCGATTTTCTATCCCTGTCTCATGCGCGCACAAAGAAATTAAAGTTGAGGCATAAAAAAACACAAACAACTATAGAATAGAAGCAGGACTGCCAGGCCCCAACGCAGCCGAGCTGTGAGAGTTGACCTGGTTTCTGAATGACAATAATTGTGAAAAGGCGACGCTTTGTCCCCCACCGGCGATCCTGAGGGACTGACACGGACAATGAGGAGATTAGGCGTGCAGCTGTGGCGCGTTCTAGCTCAGCACTGCCTCTCCGCCTCCATGGGGACGAGCCAAATTAGAGTCGAGAGTTTTCTTCATCGCCTCATGCTGAGGGGAAGGGGTTGATGCTATCTCGGATCAGTACATCTCTGTCACCTCTGCCACACATGCTGTGTGTATGAAGGCAAAAAGTCACATTCGTGCTCTCAGGGAACAGGTCAGTACGGGGGACTCGATGCGTAGTGGCAGCAGCAAAGACAGGTTGGCATTTGGCTGCAGTTCCTGCCTCATCCTTCTGCCCAATGTATCATTGGAGTGGGGAGATGACAGTGATTTTGAAAGTGGGATTTTCACAAACACTTGCAAACAGACAATAAAGCCACCACACCAATATAGACACCCCCCTCCCCCCGGACTATTCAGAACAGCCTCCACCCACTTTTACATTGCAGATATGAGCTTATTAACTCATATTCTTTCTGTACCACTGGGAGAGTGATGCAGGGGTCCATTTTCCCAACTTTCTCAGGGTCTCTATGGCAACAGTGGGTACAACTGATGTAAGGAGTGCCGTGTTGAATATTTAACTTCTGCTACAGTCAGAACCAACTACTGACCTATTGACTGGATGTGGTTCAATCTTCACATGATACATTATTAGGAGAACTATCCAAGGTGACTCTTATAGCTAGTAAGCTACTGGTTAAAGACTTTGGCTTGTGACTTGAAGGTTGTTGGAATCCCAGGAGGTCCTCCTTCAGCGAGGCCCTCAATTGCTCAAGCGAAAAATCCACACCATTGAGTAGAAACTATAAGTCACTCTGGACAAATCCATCTGCTAATCAAACAAATGTTACAAGTTCATAGCTGATTATTTCACCAAAGCATTTTCAAAGGATCTACAGTGGACCCCCAAGGTCACATATACATAACACTAAAGGAATAAGGTGGCCTTCTTAACATGCTACTCCTTGTATGGCTACCAGCCATTCCTCACCACCAGACCCGAAGCAACGTATTACCAGATCAAGGCAAGGCGATAGGATATTATGAGCCATTCCAGTCATGCCATGTCCCACATCATTAGGCTTGGGCTTGATGAATTAACGATGAGATTATTCATTGCAGGAGACCGAGCATGCTGTGTGATATCGTTACGGAGATGAGGTGCTGTTCATGAGCCCAGCCAGGGCAGGACTAAGGCTACGAACATGACCTAACCGCTGTAATAGGGCGACTCTTCTGTGATGGTTTACCTCATGCAGTCAGATTAAGATAATGGGTAACACTTCATTTGAGGGGGCACAAGTAACTTAGTACAGTAACTCAACTGTTACTCAAGTACAAATCATGAACAAATATAGTAACAGCATGATATGCATGAAGTTACTATTGAATAATGATGAATGAACATTGGATCAGTATGTAACAAACACAATAGTTTCTGGTTAATTAATACATTAAGCAAGGGTGTACTACTACATTATTCATGTCCGCTCAAGGAAAGCGTTACCAGATAATAGGTCGTAAACTATATTTTTGGCTGTTTAACTTAAAAAAAATACAAACAAACAGAAACAACCAGAAGCGTAACCCTAAGATGCCACCAGAGAATTACTCAAGATTGTCTAGGATAAAGGGTCAAACGTCAATGAAGGGGTGCTTTCTATTTTAAGTGCTGAGTGTCTGCTTCATCCAAGACCTCAACTGCCATTCTGCCAAGTGCCCTAAAAATATATGTATTAAAGCGAAAGTATGAAAGAAATTGAACCTAAGAAACAGCAGGGAGGAATTTGTTCTGCACACAAAGGATTGTTTGCTGGTAGCCGTTTCTTGAAACATGTGAAGGCCTCTGAGGAGATGCTTCACCACGAAAGAGCTATGGCCACTCAGGGAGCTCAGCTGCTGAAGCATGACAGGACCCCCACCGTGGAAACCTGGACCTGCTGGCTTACATCGAAGTGTCTCTGGTATGCAGCACGACAGAACGGACGGGAGAGCAAAGGCAAAAAAAAACAACAAAAGCGGCTTTTATCCCAGTGAAACCGGGATTACGATTATTGTTTCACTGTGGCGTGGTGATAAGCTGCAGGAACTGGACAAAGGGAGGAGCCTCAGATCCTGAACGGCTTTCCGTGAGTGCGGTTGGGGGGAGGCGGGCGAGAGTGGCGGCTGGGGTAGACAAAGGAAAGGCAAATTAGAAACTGACATGTGTGCCAACGGCCTCGATGCAGATCTCTCTCAGTCTGTCTGGCAGCTCTCCTCTTTCCTCCCTGAATTCCTTGGCTCGCGGCGCAGGGAGAGTTGCCGGTGGAGAAGCAGGCGAGTCCCAGCCCTCATTTTAACCAAACTAACGGCACATTTAAGACTAAAGGGATGAACCATGTGCCCACGGTAGCTCTTGGGGCCAAAACGAACAGCAACCGCATAGATGGTCCAATGAGACCACAACTTAGCATAAAAATGAAAACATCCCTCCAGAAAACTTCACTCCTTAAAAGTAGCCCAGAATAAGTATTTGAAGCTGAACAAGCACTGTGGATTCCAGTGCATATGAGGAACACCGTATGATGGTGTCAGCAGGGACGGTGACACTCACGTTGACGGACTCGCGGCCTGCGTACTTGACCCTCATCCGCGGCTCCTGCACCACGTCCAGGTTGGTTCCCGTGATAGTTAGGGGGGTGTGTCCACTGAAGGAGAGACAGAGACCAGCATAGATCGTTACAAGTTTGCACCTCAAACAAGATATTAAGTCTAAGTTGCTAAGTGCTAAGTTGCTAAGATGATAGCCGTAATGGGGCCGAACATGCCCAAATGTCTGGTACCTTGATCACAACACTTCAGCTCGAGGCTAAAGAGATGTAGGGCTTCTAATCTGTCCTCGTACAGCAATTTTTAAGTTGAAGGCTGTCTCAGATGACCAGGTAGAAGAAAGCTTCTTCAGTACAAGGATTGAGAGGGAAAAACTAAACTAATACAGAATACTAGTTACAACAGTTTGAAAGCAATGCAAAATCTTGTTTTCAATTGTGGATTCAAAGGTGGTTCTAAACCATTTGAACAATCATTTCTTTCATGGATTTTAATCAATGTTTTAGAGAGAGGAAGAGAACTTTTCACTTTCACAGTGGAAGCAGGAGAAAACTTTTAACCTTCAGAGAAATAGAGTGAGAGAGGACTTTTGATCTACAGGGACAGAGTGGGATGTTTAAACTTCCATGAGAGATGGAGACAGGACTTTTAACCTTCAGAGTAAGAGCAGGCAAGAGGATTTTTAACCTGCAGTGACGGAGGTGGAGAGTAACATTTAACCTTCAGTGAGCGAGGTGCTGAGGACTTTTAACCTTCAGAGACTGAAGGAGACAGACCAACACACTTGCACCTCATTCAGACAATAAAAGAGGGCTTTCAACCTTAAGAGAGAATACTTTTGACCTTCACAGAATGCAGCAGATTGACAACCACAGCTGCTTGTTTTTCTGCGAAATGATTGTGGTAAACGGTACTACCTGGCGATGCTCCATTCGGGCTCGACCCGCTGCACCGTGGGGTCTTCAATGTACTCGAATGTCAGGCTCCCCATTGCCCACGCACG